AGCCGGACTGGTCTGTACGGTGATTTTGCAGACCTGTCTTGTGAAAGAGGTGACAGTCTAAGTAAAGATTACTAAAGCACTATTAACAAATTGGACTTCCTTCCAAAGTAAGAGGTTGAATTACTGGAACACTAGAAGGAAGAGATGGGATAAATGGCTCTTTGAAGGGATCTGGATCTTGGGGAGCCGTTTGTGTCATAGAGCCTTTCGATTTTGAACGTATTACGCCAACACGTAGGGAAATACATCATCACGTAGCTGTACGTAATGAAGTAATCTTGTCACGTGGGTGGAACCATGTGTTTGTCAAGAGGAAACCTCACTCCCCTTTCACCGTGAGCTTCTGTTCTCCACAACTCCGCCTGTTTTCCATGAAAAGGCAAAGCGGGAGCGATTTAATTATGAAAAAATAAAGATTATATGAGGAATAAAAGAAATAAAACTACAAATGGCTTGTTACTGCCCGTGATTCGGCTTCTATCGTTTGTTGTAAAGAGCCGTTCAAAAGACTCGGATCAGTCGCGAACGTCACATCACTACTAGAAGGTCTTGCATGATTTAGTGTTGAGGGTATCTCAGCTACTACCACACCAACATTTTAGCTGATTATTTGTAAAACTGACTGAGTCATAGCCATTTTTGTGTTTTTCTCATTTTAATTGAATCATCAAAAGTATAATCAGAAATAAGGATTATCATATGTGGTTGTGAGAAAAGAAAACAGTACTTTTCATATTGAGGGTACTTTTTGGGTTTTGCAGGAAACATCGGGACATAATCAGGCCAAATGGGATGTAAATGCTGTCNGGCTTCTATCGTTTGTTGTAAAGAGCCGTTCAAAAGATTCGGATCATTCGCGAACGTCACATCACTACTAGAAGGTCTTGCATGATTTAGTGTTGAGGGTATCTCAGCTACTACCACACCAACATTTTAGCTGATTGTAAAACTGACTGAGTCATAGCCATTTTTGTGTTTTTCTCATTTTAATTGAATTACGCTTGTGTGAACAGGACTTAATGAGTCCTAAAATAAAAGTATAATCAGCAATAAGGATTATCATTTGTGGTTGTGGGAAAAGAAAACAGTACTTTTCATATTGAGGGTACTTTTTGGGTTTTGCAGGAAACATCGGGACATAATCAGGCCAAATGGGATGTAAATGCTGTCAGTTTCAAAAACCAACCATGTTTTCATAGTTGCCACTTTTTGATGGGTTATGTAATCCAGTTTACATTGATATGGGATTAGGAAGATGCTTTGAGGACATGTTTGATAAACATGCTAACCGGCAGTGAGAGAGTAGATTTGTTTTTCTCCCCAGACTTCCCAGCAGTTCTTRCTTTAACCTCACAGTAATGCATGGAATTTTATTTTTCCTAAAATGTTGAACTCCTCTTTTAAAAAATAAAATAAAATCCTCCTTTGAACCTCACTTGCTTTGTATTCATAAAATAGTTTCCCACAGGCCATGAAAATACGGCTGTTTTATTTCTGTTATTTTTGGTGCCAAATCCTTTCTACTCAGCAGTTTTTCCCCCCATTGCCGTATCTTCATGGTTGATGGTAGAAAAAAGTGACAAAAGTTCAAAAACACGATTCTCAAACGTGGTCACGCTGCGGCAGGAGCTACAGCTGATGCTGACTTAAGATGATGCGGTGAGTGGAGTGTTACATGAAAGAAGGGGRAAAGGGTGTCGCCTGTAATCTCTGTTATTTAGTCACTCAAAGGCAGGCTGTGAGGTGATGGTTGAGAGGAACATGCAAAGTATGACTCTGGTTCTTCTGTAGGTTTGTTATGCAAACAGAGTCTACGGTCACACACTGCAGGATTTTTGCACAGTTCCGATTTTCTGCAAAAATCCGAATATTTTTTGCGTGAACGTTCAAATTATATTTTAAATGCAGCCTCCATCAGACTCAAACTCTCCATGGCACTAACGCGACCGGCATATGCRCAGAAAAAGACGCAACGTCGCATTCAGCGCACTACTGTATTTACAAAGTATATATGGATGCTACATTTTAGCATGTCGATAAATAATAGTCGGACATGCGGAACACTGTTGTTGTTTTACGTCTTACAGGCTCTGAGACGTTAAAAAAGGTGTAAGATTTGAAAAAATGCAAGATTTCTTTTCTACGTCCGTATACCTGCAAAAATTTGGGGGAAATCCATTAAATTTACGGAGAGTCTGTATGGCACATGTATGGTACTGAAAAGGCCTGGATCAGATTTGAAAAAAAAAATCTGACTTGTCTCATTCAAACCGTCATGAAAAAATCCAACATGGGTCACACATGGGCCAAAAAATCTGATTTGGGTCACAGTTGCCTGCCGTGTGATTGTAGCCTATGAGATGTTTGATCGGTCACTCTGTAGTGTCTTGAAGACAATGCTAAGTTCCCACCAGCTTTAGACTTTTTTTTTTGTTAAAGAAAAGCCGAAGGGAAAAAAAAACTGGGAAAAGACACATAATTCTATCACTGAGATCAATAAACTACAACTGCAACCATTATTCTTTTTTTTTTGTTCCTACACTGATGGGTGATTTGTTAACCTCTTGCAAACATTTTTTGATATTTCCYGCACGGTAATCACTCGATTAATTCTGGTGGCGTGATTTGTGTGTACCAGAGGACAGGCACATAATGAGCACAATATTAGACATTAAATGCAAGCTGAGAAGCAATTACTCAAACCAAAAAAAAAAGATAGAAAGAAATAATTGCCATGCCGGTAACTTTTTTTCAAATCAAATGCAAATCAATTCTGTGTTTGGAGACGGCTCGGTGGGTCTGCTGTCATGTTGTTTGCTCAAATTCATAATTGCCTAAAAAAAGGTTGCTAAATAAGAAAAMAAGGAAGTGTTTGGTGGCCAGAGTGGTCACACAAATGTTGTTTGTCACTTATTCTGGATGAGGACCTGTCATTCTGTCGAAGCACTGCTTTGTTGCTCGATGAGTGGAGGGGTGTAGATTTTTGCTTTTAGGTCCGTTTATTTGTCAAAAACTTTCAAAGTGTACAATCTCCTTTTTACACCAAGAAAAAATAAATGGAAATACAGAAGTAAAAAATAAAATAAAATAAATAAAAAGGCTGTCGACTTTCTCAAATTTGCAAGAGCTACCCGGCTGATCGCAGGCTTTGATATCAGTTTGTAGATTTCATTTGATTTTGTTGTTTTTTTTCCTGGGCTTGTGTTGAACAGCTGCCCCAGCGGGCTCAGCTTTGGACCTGTGAAGTTTGGTCTGTGTGTGCTTGTGTGTTTGCAATCCTTTGGTAATTCTTGTGTTTCCACTTTGCTGGCTTTGATAGCTGAGTGTCTTGGGCGGGAGGAGAATGGGCTTTTACAATGTCGGCTTCATGTCTTCTTTTAAGTCTGTTCRAAAAGTTGCAGAGGGAGATGTCTGACAGGCCTTTTGAGTGTACATTGTCTGAATGTAAAACCTTGGCGGGAACACGATGTGTTGCACGGTGTTGGGGCTATTTAGCTGARTGGTGATACAGGAGGGGGGATTTTACAGTAAATTTGAAATTCTGAATTTAGCTCAAGGACAATTTGGTTTTAAAGGCAAAACAACTACTTTTGTACTAAAACTTCCCCTAAACCACATATTTACACTGTTGCTGCTAGCAGTAATACAACTTACAACTACTAGGTTTCTTCTTTTGTCTTTGCGTAAAACCATTTAAAAGCAATTTGGTGCAAATCCGTCACACCTCTCAAACTTAAGACCTGCAGGTCAAATCCAGCCCTAAAGGCAATACATTGCATGCAAAATAGTTTTATGATTTCTCTTTTTGTGGCTGTATTTTGTGCACTCTTCTCATGACAGCTGCCAAATTTTCAAGCCAAGAAAATTAAGTTTTTATTTAACTTTTTTTTTTTTTGCTTTTTGATGTCGAATCAGCAACAGAGAATTGACTTTGTGTTTTGCTGTATTTTTTCCTTATTTTAGAATAACATAATTGGATTTTTTGTGAGATTTTTCATTTGTTTTTACTTTATTTGCTTTATGGTAATAAGAAAAAATAAAGAAGTTGTTGATATAGAGTAAGGCAGGGATGTCAAACCCATTTTCAAGAGCATTATGTTGACCCTCAAAGGGCCAGTTGTAATTAACTTTGTTTCATATTTAACTTAGACTAACCGGGAAACGTCACGCTCCTCGTCTCATTGCTACGACTGAGCACTGCTAACAAACAGTTGTTAAACAACAATCCATTTTATCTTTACAACAAATGGGCCGCAGTCAAAGTAGTGTAAAAGATAAAGTACCCTGTGCACCTACACCTAGTGGTGAGATGCCGTCATTTCATGGGAAAAATCATCAACATGCATTATAGGAGATGTAGTTTACGGTTAATGCTGGCTTTAACGCAGCTTATTTTAAGACATTAATGCAGCTTTAAAACAATTGTCGGCCACATAAAATGTTGTGGTGGGCCGCAGTTGGCTCGTGGGCCTTGAGTTTGACACGTGGAGGTATAAGAAGTAAATGCTATGAACTCTTTCTAAATGTAATCTCTTTTTTTTCTTTATCCTTTAGTTTATATATGTTCTCGGTGCCCCCACTGGCCTTTAACTCCACAAGAGAGAGAACTCTGTATCTGTAGAGTTAGACTCAACACTTACAGCAGGATTTTCCTCACTGCAGGCTGACTTCATTTTCACCATTTGTACCTCATCCTGTGTTTCAATGACTTTTTTCTTTCAGACCGGAATTTTTCTGTAGCAGCGTTCAGCTGCACGTTAGCAGCCAGAGCTCTAATGTAACTCACTGAAGACATGCAGAAATGATGAATTACCACTATGATTCAAAGACTTTAGGATGCCCCAATCTCTCAGTCTAGCTTTCTCTCTGGCTGCTTGTTTGATACCCCCCCCCCACCTTCTTGTATTCACTCTTTTACACATTTCACACATGTATCCTCATCTACCATCTGCTTCCCTCTCTTCTCTGTTTCTGTTTCTCACTCATGCGCGTGTCCACAGGGGAGCGCCAGGAGTGGATGGAAACTCTTCAGACGGCCACGCGCCCCCCCGCCTGCAGCTCCCAGAAGCGCTCCGACAGCCTTCCCCACCTCTCTTCCACAAACAAGCGAGGCTTGCTGGAGCTCCGCGGTTACAAAGGCAGAGTGCTGGTGTCCCTGGTGGGGAGTAAAGTCAGGCTCTGCAAAACAGAACAGGTACTTCTTTTCCACCACCGGGACCGCCTCTGTACAGAATGACAGCTTCATGCCTAAAAGAAGGGAAGATGATAAGCCTACTTGAAGCGGCAGTGGTGGGAGAAACGGATATGCTAGWGAATGTCTAATGTGAGGGAAAAAAGTAAATATATATGTGTGTTAAAATGTTTCAGTCTACAAGCACATGCAGGCACACACACTGATTGTAGCTCAGCTGGTTGAGTCCTTATCACAAGCCCTGTAATGCATGTTGTTTTGTGTTTTCCCCTCCGTTTCATGCTCATGACGGGGTTTGCTGATCTATGAAGCTAAAAGCAAAAATAATTTACAACTTAGTAGAGTGTTGAATAACTTGGATCATTCAGTTGAGTCATGAATTTAAATTTCAAACCTTTGCAGTTTGTGAAACTTTAATTAATCCAATGCCCAAATGAATTACCTTAATTTTTTAAACTTTTTAAAAAGTATTTACCTTAGATTATAATAAAAAAATATAAATAGCACATCTTATTGACATAAAAACTGGTCTGTATGGTGATGTAAAATCTGTATTGATTATTTTTCATAATTTTTTTCTRTAAGTTTTAATTTAAAGTTAAATTCCTGGAAATCTAATACACAATACCCCCTCAACACTGGATGAAGTCCCCTCTACATTAGAACTAAGCTGATTTTTGGCAAATCTGGAAAACCTCCTTTGTTTTCAGTCAAAATACTATAATGCCCTTAGTCCTGCTAAATAGTTTTTATTTTTTGGCTATTTTCTTATTTCTTCATCCCYGAGTGGGTCCTCACCTTCAACATGCTCTGTATGACCCCTCATCTCCAACGTTAAGATGCAGCTAAAAGTGGGGTGACGCTACTCTCGCTCTGGGGAGGGCCTTGGTGGCTCTGGGGGATGTCTTCTGGTGGCTGCATGTGGGCCCTCGGGTAGTTTGTAGCGGCGGTCATGGGTCGCTGGTCCGATTGCCAGGCCGTGCTGCGGCGGGTCCGGGGTGGGCACGGGGGGCTTGGGACTCTGGGGTCGTGCCGCCCCTGGGCTGTGGCTCTGGTGGGGCGGGGGGTCTTGGGCTCTGGCGGGCGGGTTGCCGGGCGCACCAGAGGCCCCCAGCCCGGCTCTGGGCTGGGGGCCTCTGGTGCACTGGTGGTCTGCGGTTCTCATGGGCTGGGAGGTAGGGTAAGCTGGGGGCGTGACATGGGGCTAGTGGTGGGGGGGTCGACCCAGCCTGGGTGTCCTTGTGTTATATGTTCTGATAGTGG